TGCTTGCAGAAATTTGACGCTTACTTTTTGTTTTTGTTTTCTGTTTGGCGGTCGTTTGAGTTGGACTCTGGTGGTCCATTTCGGCTTGTTTCCTCTTCTCCAGCTTGTGGTTCGGTAGGTTTCGGTTATGTGGTCGCTGGTTGTAATTTAATTGGTCGACGAATTGACTTGATTGATTGGTTTAAATAACAGCCAACAGACGTACCCTAACTATTTGTTCGAACAGGGTAAATGTTGGACTTTAAATATCAGTAGTTTTTAATTAATAATATTTCGAAAATATTACTCAATTAAGAGTTTTAAGCATACGCGCAATCGACGGACGAAGCAAAATAGATACGTACGTGCCAGAAACAGCAAAAGGTAGAATAGTGTAAAACTATTGAATGAACTTTCGGAGCGATTTGTTATTGTGAGTTAGATATAACTCTACGCTCTCATATCCCCGACGATAACACAGAGATGCTCACTATCCGAGAAGCATGAAACCTCAGACAAGCAAAAATGGCGCTTACTCAATGTATGCTAAAAGCCAAACAATTGGAAATCGACGAAATCAACAAGGAGGTAGAGATATATCGAGAAAAACTGTCCGTCCACATCAGATCCAAATTTCATGGTACACATCGAAATCATACTCGAAAATTAAGAAAAACGAGAAAGCCAAAAAGCACAAAATAAGATTTATTTTTTAGAAATAGATGCCTCAAAAACCGAAAACACCTAGTCGCTACAGACGAACCTATAGCTTACCCACATCCCCATTTTTCAAATATAGGATATCCATCCCAAACGAAAAATTACGCTCTCAATTTAGATGAATATCAGCGATCAATCCTGAACAAAGAACCCGATTATGTCCATCCAGCCCAAAAACAGCATTAAAGCGCCTCCCAGAAGAGATCAAAACAATGAGAGAAAAATTACAGGTAAAATTCAATGGAAATATCAAAGCACGAAACATCCCAAGATCCGTAACTGACGAATTCGCCAAAAAAGTACACAATGAACTGAGACAAGAAATTGTAAAGCAACCAATAGACGAGATGTTCGATGCCACAATCGCCGACTTCCAGAACAACAGAAAGACAAAAATGTAGTCTTTCGCAAGGCCGACAAGTCAAAAATTTCCCATTTAGACCGCCCAGAAAATTATGAGAAAAAATCAGAGGAATACATGAAGAAGACAAATGCATACGATGAAATTGCATATAATACGATAGACCAGATGATTCAAAACACTGATCAGATGTTAAGACACCTCCTCACGAGCAAGCAGATAACACAAAAGCAATACGAACGCTTGAAACCTACACAAGAAGATTGTGAACTACCTCATCTCTACTATAATCCGAAAGATCATAAAATCGGAGAACCTCTACGTCCGATAGTGAGCGGAATGAAACCCCCTACAGCCAAAATGCCATATTTTCTAGACCAGATCTTGAGACCTATTTTTGATCGAGAAACATCACATTATACGCTTGAGAATTCTCTGAAATTCTTAGATAAAATAGAAAAAATAGAGCTATATGAAATTACAGACAAGACAATTTACGTTCGATATCACAGACCTGTACACGATGATTCCCCAATCAGAGTCCGTCCAATCTATAAGTCGCCTCCTAGCAAAAACAGGGAACCGGAAAGTTGAGGCCATCTCTATAAACACGATTGCTAAAATGCTTCGATTCATACTTGCCAACTCCTACTTTCCTTCGACAAAAAGTACTACAAACAAATTCGAGGCGGTGCGATGAGTAGTGCTGTAACACAAGTATTGGCAGACGCTCACATGATGGAATGGGAAAAGGACCTTTTAGCTTCCCAAATAGGCGAAAACGAGTGTTATTTCCGATTCCGCGACGGTATCTACCTCACCACCAAGAGAGATCTTTTTGAATTTTATGCCATTTTAGATAAGCTGAACGAAAAAGACCCAAACATTAAGCTGACATACGAGACAGGCGAACAAGTAGATTACCTCGACATCCGCATCATCAAACAAACACATCGCAACAAATTTCCTACCGTAGTTTTTAGAAAACCTGCCGCATAACCTTATATCCTACCTTTTGAATCCTCACATCCAATTCACATAAAGCAAAATATCCCATATGCCTCATTACTTCGAGCTTCGCGAATCTGCTCAGACGTAGAAGATTTTAAGGAAGAAAAATTTCAGATTCGCATAGGTCTACTTCTAAATGACACCCAAGTAACTTTATAGGCGCACATTTCGACCGATTGATGAAAGACGTAGGTATGAGAGACTTAAACACGACTTTTGAACCACAAACGAAATACAACGAATGCGATAAAAAAGTACGAACCCGGCATGGAGCATGAGAGAAAAACCAAAACAAAACATAGATCCGAAACAAGACATGTTAATCCATTTCACTTATGTACCTGCAACCTCAAAGTTTGGCTCCAAATTTCATCAGATGTGGATTGAAGCCTTTGAAGACACCCCGTTAGGGGATATACATCCAATTGTTGCCAACCACTTCTCTGAAAATCTAACGCAGATGTTGATTCGGAAAAACCATCGAACAATATATTATGTGCATCTTTACCACGAAGCAAATACGTAAATAATAAGTCAAAAGGAGTTTTACAAGTCAAAAATGAGCACAATAAGGCTACAAATTAAAATATGTATTCGGTATTTCGTTCAAAATCTTTTTGCAATTGAAAAACGATACTGTGCGCTCTTTCTACTCTCTTTTTAAGGATCACCTACCTACACACAAATTATACGTACAAACTGATCATAAAAAATTGCCACTTTACGTACCACCAAGCAAATGCAAACAAACGTCATACAATGGTTACTACGTCAGATCTGATCGTCAAAAAACAACTTTATACATTAGACATTTTGTGTGAACAATTTCAAAACCCTCAACTAGAAGGTTTTTGCTAAACTCACTCTCACCTTCACGATCACTCCAAGCACATCGAAAATATGTAATGACTGAAATGAAGAAAATCAGAGCTATATATATATACATCCCAAAAAGCCGCAATTAGAAAAAATCAAGAATCAGGAACTTTCAAAAACTGATGCAGTCAGAAAAAGAAAAAATAATTCAGTCAAAAAATTCGAAAAAACTCAAACAGAGAGAATTATTCTATTTTCTAGTAGAATTTTGATATATTGCATCAGCTGAGAAAAATGAGAATAGGGAAGCCTATATATACCACTACATTTTCACCATACAGTGCCACTTTTTTCGTTATCAATTTTTCGCTAGTCTGTTGAAGAAGAATATTCGAAACGCGTTCATACTAGCCAGTTTTTTGTCATCTTGCTACCTTCCATTTTAAAAACAAGTAACGCTAATCTTCGATTCACTAACCCTTGACTGAAAGATCCTGTTGCTAACGAACCCGACATGTACGGTGCACGAAATTCACAACTTACAGAAAATGATTTTTGTTATCTTCGGTATGGTTGAATAAAACTACTCGACTTATCTACTCGGAACTGATTTTGATACGTCTAGAAGTCACTGTGAAAAACTTTTGATCGTTTGAAAATAGTCCAAAATGAGGAAAATATTCGTATTACTTCGTCCAAAAGTTCACAAGTAGTTTTCTCTAGCTCCCTTCAGGAAGTTTAAAAAGCTCACTGTGACTGGCATCTTAGAAACAAATACGCCCTTGAAATATCCCCAAAACGAGCAAGCCAGACAAGCTAGCAGACGCCGAGATATGCGCCAACACTAAACATTCCAATCAACGTCAACGAACAAGTCACTGCCAACCGTTTCAGCAGTTCTTCCTTCATTCCGAACTGCAGAAAGACTTACTCCGAAAAGAACTTCCAAACAATCAATAAACAAACCGCTAACTCGAAAACACACGATACAGTCCGCCCCAAAACAAAACTAATACCAAAAACAAATGACGAAAAGCATGAGTGACACAACATTACCAAAACCTCCCTACGCTATAGACGAATCTGTACCCCAGCAAGAGTGTATGGCTTCCGACACTCTAGAAACAACAACCACACAAAACCATAAACACACCGGTGCTGAACATACAACTACGAAACACGACACACACGCCTACTACCAAGTGGCGCACCAAAGCAACCACTTGCACCACAACAGTACCACCAACGATACACACTGACAACGAAACCTGATACACAGTAATACACATACCCACCTGCCTCTCAAACACACACAATCACCAAGTTCAACAAAACCCAAACGCTGATTCGACCAAATTACGAAAAAAACGGAAGTTCCCATGGGTAAAACATGGGAAATGAATAAAAGACCACTCAACAAACGCCATAATAACGCATATCCAACAGTCCGTCATTGAAGATCGTCACGAAGTTGGTGCCAGCAGAAAAAGTATGTGGAATTTAATTTCTGACATTTTCGGTTCAAGAGCCAGATTTGTCAGATGCTTGCTTCACGGTGAAAAGCGTTAGTTATCAAAAATATGCGTTTTTCTCGCTAATTAACGAAACTGATGCCAGCAGATAAAATATGTGAAATTTAATCTCTGACATTTTTTATTCAAGGCTCGCAGATCTAGGATGTCTTGCTGCTGAGAAAAGTAGTAATTACGTGTTTTTCCTCCTCGAATGTCAATATGTCGCTAATTTACGTTTAAGTGGCGTCAGGTGTCTCTACTATTGCACCCGGACGGATGGACATTTCGTTTGTATGACCCAAGACTTTCAGTCAAGGGAATAAAAGCTTTCAAAATAAAAAACTTTCAAAAATAAAGCCATTCAAAAATTAACAAAAAGATCTTCATCTTTTCAGTAATATACTGAACTTACTTCAAGGTAACATATTTCACTTACTAGACTGCCATCATCTTTGCATTTCAACATTTCAACATACAACCAGTCTGACCTGTTACATACTGTTGGCTACTCCGCATCTGTAATTTCAATCACCCTCACTCTCAACTTGAGCGATAACCACGTATAGCTCCTGGAGAACCAACTAAAAACCATAATAATAATGGATCAGGAAAACACGAACGCAGATAAATCTAAGTCAGACGATGAGATAGAAGTAACTGCAACAATTGCGGCATCTACTCCAATCATCGATAATATCAATCCAAATATTAATAATAATTATATTTGCTATATTACACCGGCAGGACAAGGACAAGAAGAAACAAACTTAACTGCATCTCTCTCACCACCGACAAATCGTATGCATCAATACAAAACAATGACATCACTTCGTAAAGACCGAGTACAACATCGAATTCAGTTCGCAGTACCGAAAATTGTAGCTTGCAGTCCGATGAAGAAGTGTAAGCACAATAACGACGGAGAACCAGCTTTTCAGTTTCCACCCTTACCAATCTTATCGCTACCAAAACAGCAAGAAAATGTTCAACCACAACAAACAAAGAAACACACATATGAGTGTATACAACAGTATATACAACAGTGAGGCGCACATATGCCGAGGTACTAGCACGCCAGGAGCAACCACGGCTACTCATGCACGTCAACCCATATGACATACTATATGAAGACCCGGCACCGGAACCAGAGTATTACGAAGAATACCAGCAACCGCAAAAGGTAAGGCAAAGAAATAATAGATCATAGGAACAACGGCGAAAGTAACAACCAATAGCGGCCAACAATTACTTCCCGGCTAATGCAACAATAGAAACCGATGACCTTTCGCCGACCAATGGTCATCATGAACATTCGGATGTTGCTCTGAAGGTTTTCCATTTGAATGAGGCAATAAAACCATAGAAAAACGTGCTGAAGAGCGTTTTACACGATGTTTGATTTCCTATTTATAATCTTTCAAGTAACAACTTCAGTTGTGAGTATCGGCTATAGCATCTAGACTGAAAAAAGCATGAGTACATTCTTTTAACCAGTTAACTATAATCAGACATAAGCTTAGAGCAATAAAAAACTAGAGGGAGAATAAACTTATTACTGATTTTGGATTATCTAAGTGTATACAGAGTGTATCTCATCAAATGAACGTTATTTGATGTGAAATGAGTGTGTTGCTCAACCAGTGACTGGCAGCTTATAGGATGAGCGTGCGAATTAGAAGCAAAAGTGGACAGCATCCAGAGTAAATAAATACAATGCATATTCTTGCTCTCGTTCATGTCATCCATTGTGAATGAGTATCTATGGTAGAGAATCCACATATGGTCCGACAGAAATAAAGATGACATATGACGAAATCTATGAGGAATGTGTTTTAAAATCCTCATGGCCAAATGTACAGGAGCTAGTCTTAAACGGATATCTTGAACTGTCTGATCAATATATTCATCAGCATTTAGGAAATATCAGCAAAATAAAAGTTACAGCCTGTGATCTGGACGATATATATGTTAGTTCAACACTGAAGTTACCGAAAATAAATGAAGTTTATATACAATGTTGGGGTTGGAAATCGACTGGAAGTTTTATGTCACCAGTTTATCAATTACTTTATTCAACATCGAATTTGAGAATATTACAAGTCCCTCCTCCTTTGTTGTACAATTGGTTGGACTATCTTAACAAGAATAATATTGTTTGTCCGTTCAAAACCACCTTGTGTCAATTGACTATTACCCGTTATCTAAAACCATTGAATATTGAAGATATTGTTCTGTATTTTCCAAATCTCGAACTACTAAAAGTACTCTTCTATGAGCCACTATACAGAGATGATGTTGAATTAGCAGCCGATGTAACTAGAAATTTAAAATACATACTTGGCAAACTCTTACCTTATTTTTCAACAAATAGATTATCATGTTTATCCCTTGGCCTTCACTTACATGCTGGTAATTGTGATTCCTCTCAAATACTACCATTTGTCGAAAATCTATTAGAAAACGAAAATGGTTTTACAAACAGCATGTTGCATATTCAAGCGAATTTTGACTGTCTTGTTCTAACTCGCAATCACGATTAATAGTTTTCAATCCTTTGGACGCACTTATCAGTTAGCTATTATTCTTATCACGATATTGCCACTTCACTCTCATTTTTTGATACTCATCTTAGCACTCGAGTTGTTTAACATTCATATATTAACCGTGTGTTTGAGCTAGAGATCATCGATATGCAACTCTTATCGATTTAGGATAATGTTGATCCAGTGACAAGAATATCGTAATACTTATTAATTGCTGTGTTTTGCTTTTACTTGTTACGGTGTGTTCCATTCAGTGGTGATTTGTTCTGTGTTCTTTTCGTTGCTTAGAGTCTTTATGTTAAAAGTATAGGTTATTGTATTTTAAGATTTGCTTTTGAAAAGATCTGTAAAATCTACATGTGTTCATTTCACAAGCTGAATTGTAGGGATCTATTCTCTTCTACCGGAACACACACTTTTTAAAAATAAAACGACAATAAGTACTACTATGAAGAGAACAAATAATTTCTTCGATGATGGAACAAGTAAAAGATGATGATGCAACTCATTCGTCGATACACGAAATAACTAAATAAGATTTAGAAGAGACGAAAACGCCCTTGATAGCTCGAAACGGTCATTGATAGAGCAAACTCAAACTCGAAACACGAAGAAGAAGGAAGAATACTCCGGCTTGCGGCTACCGTTACCGGTGTAGGGTGCTGCCATGGCAGTTTTAACAGTCCAATATTTTCCCTGCAGTGACAAGCTTCCGAAACGCTCACCCATCTCGTTACTAGTCATCAGTTGCAGCTCTGATCAGAAGGCTGGCCTGACGCAGAGTTCTTTTGCCCAATTATCATGCCAATTATCAAGGCACCAAGACATAAGTAACTTGCCAAGGCTATTATAGATAGATGTTATTTATACAGGAAATTAGTACATATAAACGAAAAACCCAGAATGATACAAGGTTATGTCCAGGGCTATCACATAACTTTGCTAGCGTCGAGGTTCGAACGCGGTACCTTTGAAGTACGTGACGAACAACATAACCTTGATTTGTCGGTCAAATTAGCTGAACACAGAGAATATACCAGTTTTCTTGACACATGAGATGTCAGCTGCTCTGACACCAGTCTGCCTGCAAAGAATTAATCCCCAAGATCGTCTTCTTGTTATGCAGTCTCACGATTAACGCTGTCCTACTAGCAAAATGTCAATGTCTTTCGAAAAGCCATAGAGTAAAGGAAATGGTGCCTTTACTGAGCTTATTCGAAAATAGACTGAAGAACATGTGCTGTGCAATATGTATATATAGTGCAGAACACAAAAGGAGAGTGATCGACATATTAACAATGAGAGAGAGATATTGAACACATACAAAGAGAGAGTGAATGAATGCTATGATACAAGGTTATGTCAAAACAATTTACTTTTTTATTTCGGTTTTTCTCTGAGCTGTTTTAGTCTTACAAAGTTTTCGCCTATGTGGTAAAGTGCTGGCTTCATATTTTCTTGTCGGAAGTGATTAAATATAAATATATACAACTAACAAAAAAAATATTTCTGGTATTCTTCAGACAGAAATGAAATTAGCCGTATAGTGACGATGGCGATGCCGAAGATCCAGGTGGGAACGACTATATAGATGATGATCGGGATAAAGAAAATTAAAATCAATCTTCTTCGAATACATGAGAAATGTAGCCTACGATATGACTACAGTTTAATGGGATGCCAGGACAGATAAAACATTAAGGACATCTCATCCATAGACGAAGAATATATTGAAAAACCCACAAATGTACTGCATCATTTTGAAAAAAGTTTAGGGTAAGTTGTTTCCACTATTCTTCTCTCCTTCTTAATCATAGAAAGTTGAAAAATAATAATGCTGCATTAGAAAAAGAGGATTGATAAGAGTTCTGCCCTTGTTATTAAAAGCATTCAGTTCGATTAAAAACCCAAAATAGTTCGCCACGCGCCTGTCTTCAACGTGGTGTATTGTGTACAAGTAATACGAATATACTCAAAAGTAGCGTCAAAAACTGAGCCGAATTATATGCTTTTCAAAATTTTTCGTTGATGTTCATTTTTTGGTGAAAATCGCTTCTGTAAGATTGTATAAGGTCTTTACCGATTGTTAACGATAGTAATTTACTTAAACCATAAATCAGAAAAATAACAAAGAAACTGCTTTCAATCAGGATTTTTGTGCCTAAGCTTAACTAAAAGTGTATTCTTACTCGTGCCCGCTTTGAGGCTTGAATAGTTAGCTCACACTTTTTGCACAGGCTAATCCAAAAGTGTGAAGTATAAGGAAAAAAGTAAGAAAACAATGGGGTCAAAATTATCATAAAAACGCTGGGATCTGTAAAACCGAACCTGAAATATTGGACTCATCATACTATGGGATGAGTGGGTTTTAGTATCTTTATCAAACCGCGATAGTGTT